TTTCTTTAAAACTGAGCTAAACATTAATTTAAAGAAAAGTGAGGTCAAGGTCAAAGGAAATGTCAACGTAAAAAATATTGATCCAGTTGAATAGCTCTCATTAGTATGTATCAGCATATGAAGTTTGATAAAAATATCTTGAATGATTTCATTAAAACTGAGCTAAACACTAATTTAAGAAAAGTGAGGTCAAGGTCAAAGGAAAGGTCAAGGTCAAAAAATGTTGATGCAGTTGAATACCTCTCATCAGTATGTATCAATGTAAGAAGTTTAATTACAAAATCTTGAATGGTATCTTTAAAACTGAGCTAAACACTTATTTAAGAAAATTGAGGTCAAGTTCAAAGGAAAGGCCAAGATCAAAAAATGTTGATGCAGTTACATAGCTCTCATCAAAATCTATCAGCATATGAAGTTTGAAAAAAATATCTTCGATAGTTTCTTTGAAACTGAGCTTTGAACAGAGCTAAACGCAAAGCGTGACGGAAAGACGGAAGGATGAAAGGACGGAAGACTGACATGACAAACACTATATGCACCGGCCATATTCATGGCGGGGTATAAAAACAAGTTAAAAAATTTTGTTTGCATGCACCCTTTCTCAATACCACCTCTCCATGTTCCAAGATTGAAGTTTTAATGTCAAAAGGTTCTTAAGTTATGGTTTGGAGGTGTTTTTCTCAATTTGACCTTGAATGAAGGAAGGATTCAAGGTCAAAATTTTAGTGCAGTGCATCTTTTGTAAATGTCTTTTTTCTATGTTACAAATTTGAAATCCTAATGTCAAAGGGTTCTCAGGTTATAGCCTGGACTATATTTTTATGTAAAGATTAACCTTGACCTTATCAAAAGGTCAAGGTAAAAAAAAGTTTGGTGGCCTCAACCCCAATTCCATACCACCTCTCCATGTTTCAAGTTTGAAGTCTTAATGTCAAAGACTTGTCAAGTTAATGCTCAGACAAAGTTTGATTGAAGAAGAAAACTGACAAAAACAATATGTAGACTGGTATAGTCTACTTGTTGCATCAAATCTGTAGGAGGAGTAGTTTTGAAAGAACAAATTTGTTTCTACATTATGTAATGAAATTTTCACATAAGATTCAACTTTTCTTGCCTAGTGGTTCTTAAGAAGGAATTTTTTTTCTTATACAGTAAAGCATGCTTATAGCGAAACAAGCCTATAATGAATTGACACTTACAGCAAAACGATTTTCATTCCCCGTGACTTTAAAATATATTGCAAACTTAATGGATATAAGCAATTACACTTTTAAAAAAGCAAAATCGTCCGTCCCAGGCACTTTGTTATAAGCGTGTTTTACTGTACATTCCCATGTTTACAAAACTTTGATCCCCCATTGTAGCCGCACCCTACCCCTGAAGGCCATGATTTGGACAAAGTTGAATCTACACTAAGTTATAAAGTTTCACATAATTTTAAACTTTTCTGGTCCAGTGGTTCTTCAGAAGAAGATTTTGAAATAACATTAAATTTTCACTCATTCTTATCTCCCCTTAAAAGAAGGTTTGACCCTTCATTTGAAAAATTGTTTTACACAAGAAAGAATATTTTGCATGTGAAATAAAACTCTTTGTGTTTCTAAATATTTCTTCACACCTCTAGTGTGTTTCTTCTTATTTTAACTAAGATAATGATGATTTAATTATGACTTCAATTTTGTACAGGCCTTTGTATGATAATTACATGTATACCCTAAAGGGTATGTTTACCTGTCTTTAACAAGTCAGGTGATTGTTCACAGTGAGCACTTTTCAAGCATAATTGTTCAAGTTCATTTCTGCTTACTGAAAATACTGATCTGAAGCAAATTAATAGGAGTTCCAAGTGAAATTTGTAACAAACCATGTTAAAAGACTTCTGGCTGTGTCCTTTTGTAATTATAGATATAGATCGAAGACAAGAAAGTGAGTAAACTTATTTTTTTTCTGGGAGGGATAACATTCTTGCTACAGTTTGAATTGGTGTAAAATCCTAAAAAGTCATCAATTAAAAAACAATGTCTTATAATTCCTCTTTAATTTTTACTCAAGTAGATGTTAGAGAGAGAGAGAGAGAGAGAGAGAGAGATTACTCCAGGTAAATAGCCCCATGCAAAATATATATGTGATAGCAAATTCTCAGGAGACAATTTTTGAAAAGCAATTCTCCTTCACAGGAAGAAACCAGACCTTTCAGTTAAAACTGAAAGGCGGCTTTCAGTGACTTTTCAGTGGCCATTCAGTCACTGAATGGCAGGTACATTTCAGTGAATTTTCAGTTACCTTTCAGCCACTGTTCAGGTACCTTTCAGTCACCATTCAGCGGACACATTTCAGTGACCTTTCCGTCGTCTTTCAGTCGCCTTTCAGTGACCTTTCCGTCGTCTTTCAGTGACCTTTCCGTGAACTTTCAGTGACCTTTCAGTCGTAATTCAACGACTTTTTCATCGGCTTTTCATTAGTTTTATCGGTAATCATTCCTTAAATTTTTTTAAAATAAAATTATTCACATCTTTAAATGTGTTTTGTTTTCTTATTGTGATAAAATTCAGATACGTAGTATTGGTAATGGTTAGATGTTCAATTGTCTTTAAATTGTTTACTAAAATGTTAATTTGTGATTATTAACCATAACATTTATGTCTAATTAGAATTTTATTAACATTAAAGATTACAATTCAACTGTGGAATCATAAAATTCAAAATGATTTTCGAATTCCTAATTTGTTTCATGAAAATTGATTAAGAAAATCAATTATTCAAATGATGAAAAATAATATTCGTATCAGAATTTAATCAACAGGAATAGAATTGTCTTATTTTTTCTTACTGTAAAATTTCTAAATCTGTGATGTATATTTTCACAATGTTCATTCAATTTGATAAGTTGTTAAATGAATAAACAGACAGTCAATCTGAAAAAAGGATCGAGGATATCGCTCAAAATGCTCTTAAAATAAAAAAGAAAAAAAGTTTTCTTATTTTTCAGCTTTAAAATAGTTTTTCATTATTTTTATATCCATCTAACACAGTGTATAATGCGGTTGGTTTTCATGGAAATATCTGGTTATGAAACACGACGCCGTGGCGTAATGGATATTGTCACTGACTATAAAGCGGGAGGCCACGGTTCGACCCTTGCTTTCTGCAAGATTTTTTTTATATTTACTTTTTTTCATTTTTTTTTATTCGGAAATAGATTAATTTAATACCATTATACTAAGAAAACGTGAAATAAAATTTCTAAGCTAAAAAATAAGCCCATTATTTAATAGAAAGATACAACTGAAAGAAAACTGAAAGGCCACTGAATTTAGGTCTCACACAAGGAAATAATTTCACTATATGTTACTATGTAGCTTTAATTAAATTAATTAATTAATTAGACTCTCAGCAGATAATTCATGAAAGAGAAAATAAAGATTAATGCTGAGACAAAAATTTGAGATCAGAAAAAATACGCCTTATGCGGCTTTTAAGAAAGAAAATTGAGTGTAAACATACCTACCCTGAAATACACGTGGGTTTCACATGTTGACAAACAGCCTACACACCATCCAGGAAGTTGCATCATGCGCATCTAAAAAAAGAGTTCCCTGTAATTCAGTGGCACAATTCTGCTAAAAATATGATATTCCTAGTACATGAGTCCAAAATTAAAACTGTAGACCTAAAAAAAGTTGCCGAAAATGAAAAAAGAAAAAGAAATTGTCTCTATATATATAGAACTACAATTGACTAAGTTCATTTTGATTGGCTATTTCCTTGCGTAAGACCTTTAAGACAACTAAAAGTTAATGAAATTAAATGAAATTTGCATAAAATGTCTCTTAGTTATTTATCTTTCATATACCAGTGCATCAAAATTTATCTTTGTCGTTAAGGGATGAAAAATAGGAGATAACTCTTCCTTACAGATTATTGAATTTTAGGCTAAATTTCTATAGAAATTCATCTACAGTATATTAATTTCAAAACTTATGAGTTAATTATTGAGAAAAAAATTTGGAATGAAATGCAAGCTGAAATGTTGGGGTTTTTGGCTATCTACTTTAAAGTTTTTTCATCTCTAATTAATAAGCTCTAATTACCTAAGAAACAGGAAGTTTACTGATTTATAAGGAATTAATTAGCAAAAAATTGAAAATCTTAATTCTAAAACAAAGTCAGAGACTGGAAAAAATGGTGTCAAAAGAGACTTCAATAATGTACCTTGGAGCTTTGATAACAGTGATCACTGATTAATGGCTGGCGATTAAGATAAGGGGTTCTTTAGCAGTGGGGGGTGATGAGGCTTTTCCATCAGTCATCAAAGAATGGAGTTTCTCTTAGAAGACCAGGCAGCTCTAAAATAAATAAACAACACAAAAGTTTACAATACTTAAAAATGTGCACCACATACAATAGCATATATTACTAGAAAAAGTCTACAAGTGTACAGTTAAATAATAATCATGCCAAAAAAGGGACCAAAATGGTTGCATCAACATCAATACAGAAAAGGAAGTATTCCTCACAACAAAGGCCAGAAGAATACAGGGACCACCAGCCCAGTCCAATTTCTAGTTCCCATAAGAAGACTAAGTAAAGAAGAGTTTCGGGACATTGTACAGCCACAGAAAAATGGAATGTTCGCAGTTACAGATGCCAAGAGCCGAAGCAGTGAGATGAAGATTTTGCGACCCAGGCCAAGTGAAGTCCAGCCTGTAGATTCCTACATGGAAGCTGTGTCAGATGACCCGAATTCAAAATTATACAAAGTACTTCACCAAGAAAAGACTGCTAAATTGTGGAACCATGCATTTAAAGAACACTCACATAAGTTTCCAGACTGTGACGGTTCACTGGACTGGAATCAGCATGGGGAGGAAAAACGAGGCCTGGCATGGATCCTTTCCATCCGATGTAAGAAGTGCCACTATACCAGTCACCGAGAAAAGCTTTAAGAAGAGGTGAGGAGATCTGGAAGGGGCCGAAGAGCTGCACAGCTAAATGTGGCCATGGCTGTCGGTCATCTGGGTACTAGTCTTACAACAGAGGGTATGCTTGGTATGCTTCTTGGTGCAAATATTGAACCAGCATCAGCCGCCAACATGCAACAGACCTGCAACAAAGTGGGGGAAATTATCACCAAAGTAAATAAAAACAGCATGAAGAAAATAAGGCAGAACATTCAAGAACTTAATGAAAAATGTGGACTTCCTGATACCCCTATCAGAGCGGAAGGAGATGCTCGGTATAATAATGCCACCTTTAGTGCCATTGGAAAAACCCCATTCCAAGCTGCCACCCAAGTGACTTATACCGTAAGTGAAAATGTAACTCAGAGGAAAAATGTTGTGGCAGTGTTCTGTGGGAACAAACTATGCAAGAAAGGCACACACCTGCGAAGCAAAGGAAAGGAAGTTACCTGCCCGGGACACGAAGACTGCACTGCAACCATTCCTCCGGAGACCACCATTGGAGATGAGAAGAGATGGGCTGCAAACTGTATCGGGGAGTTACAAAGTGATGACCGTCCACTCGTCATTTCCCATTTCACTAGTGATGGAGACAGTGCCGCTGCATCTGGCGCATCTGTAAAACAAGGACATGTGATTGAAAACCTTAAAGACTTGCGTCACTTCTTTGACTCTCAAAGAAAACAGACAGCGAAGGCTCCATTCAGCAGTCACATGTTTCCGGGAAGAACCAAAGCCATAAGAGAATCCATGCAGAGAAGATTTGCCTTAGACTTGAAGCTTCGATGCAGGACAGAGTACGAGAATTGCTACAAACACTACTCCGGAGACTTACCTTTGATGAAGAGGGCTATGTCTACTGCTGTTGGTTCCATCATAAGCTGCTACCAAGGACAGTGCGGAAAGTCCTGTCAACTTCATTCCTTTTCCTGTCGTGGACTGAAAAGCAATAAGTGGAAATCTTCAGTGTTGCCTAGTGACTTTGAATTAAACATGACAGAAGATGACAAATGTTTGTTAAAAGACTGTATAAATTTGACTTTAGGATCAAGTAATCTTGACAGAATTAAATTTCATACTTGTACACAAAAATCTGAATCTGTGAATAGGGCATATTTAAAATCAAATCCAAAATGTATTACAAGTAGTAGAAATTTTGAAAGTAGAATACATAAAGTTGTGCACTCACTGAATAGGGGTCATGGAAACTCAACATTGGAACTTTGTGAATCTGTAGGGGCACCTGTTGTAAAAGGAAGTAGAGTTGTCCATCATCTAAAACAACAACAAAATAGGCAAAATTACTTTAAAATGAAACAAAAACTGTTAAAATATAAATCTCAAAGAAAATACTATAGATCTAAAAGATATCAGCTGTACGATAAAAAATCTAAAGACACTTACTGTAAATCACTAACAGATCCAAAATTAAAAAGGAAGTTGTAAGATTGTAAAAGGGGGGGGGGCATTGATGCTGTGTATTTAATTTAAATGTATAAAATTTGTATGTAATAAATATTTTGTGAATTGACTTACATGTAATAATTGTTGCTATGTATTATTATGCACTGAATCTATTCAACTGTGTAAATTGGGAAAATGTGGATATGTAAATGATGTATAATTGCATATGTAAAATGTGACATTTTCTTATACGAGGGAGTCTAAGCATGTAAATATGTTTTATTCTTAATTATTCATATAATTAAAATTATTTTAATTAGTAATCTTGTTTTTCTTACCTGTCTGATGAACACAACAAAGGTTACAGAGGTGATTGGTAGAAATACGGGTATATGGGTGTTGAAACTCTCCGTTGATGACCAGACTGCATGCCGCATTGTATATCCGCCATTTTTGATCTTTAAAAGGGGAGACTACTCCTGAAATCAAAGAAATTGTAGTCAAAATGAGAGTTACCTGTTCCTCTTTAGGTCTCACACAAGGAAATAATTTCACTATATGTTACTATGTAGCTTTAATTAAATTAATTAATTAATTAGACTCTCAGCAGATAATTCATGAAAGAGAAAATAAAGATTAATGCTGAGACAAAAATTTGAGATCAGAAAAAATACGCCTTATGCGGCTTTTAAGAAAGAAAATTGAGTGTAAACATACCTACCCTGAAATACACGTGGGTTTCACATGTTGACAAACAGCCTACACACCATCCAGAAAGTTGCATCATGCGCATCTAAAAAAAGAGTTCCCTGTAATTCAGTGGCACAATTCTGCTAAAAATATGATATTCCTAGTACATGAGTCCAAAATTAAAACTGTAGACCTAAAAAAAGTTGCCGAAAATGAAAAAAGAAAAAGAAATTGTCTCTATATATATAGAACTACAATTGACTAAGTTCATTTTGATTGGCTATTTCCTTGCGTAAGACCTGAAATGTATCTGCAATTGAGTCGACTGAATGGTAACTGAAAGACCACGGAAAAGTCACGGGAAAGGATCTTTTCAGTGACCCTTTCAATGGCCATTCAGTGGCAATTCAGTTACCATTCCGTCGACTGAATGGTGTAATTTCGTCCTGTTTTGCATTGTTTTCAGAAAACTCAAAGCTGAAAATTTAAAATTTATACCCATGTTAACATAGTGCAACTCATCTATATTGATGAAAATGTACATTAAAAAATGTATGATTAAATAGCTAAATCAAAGTGTTTTGAATAGTAAAACCAAGCTATACCAGTATAGCTAATTCAACTACAGAGCTTAATCAATTTAAAGAGATTGTGCAAGACTTGTTTTAATTCTTAATCATTCTTAAAATATTTATATCACCATTCCTGATTCAAGGGAGAGCTAGGCATATGACCAAAAAAAGTCCATGATCTATTGATTTATTAAAGACACATGACTATGTTGTGGGAAGATCAGTAAATAATGATGACAAGTGGGAAACGACCGGGTTAATATTCACAATTTTTAGGAATTTTCAACATTTAAGACCATGCAGACATAACTCCTTCCCCTTTCCCCCCTTCCCAGCCCCAGGCTTGTTTATGTATCCAAATTATTAATAACTTGTTTTGGTATAGAATAAATTGTGAATAATTCAAAAATGTACATGTACAAAAAGTATAATGGCGGGTCTCTGAATGATTTTCATTTTCTAATTATAGGAGGGTGGACTGACCCTAGGGGGTCCTGAATAAAATGTCAAGCAGATTATCACTAACACACTTTTGACGCAGGTCATATTGTGATCATTTCCAGTTTCAGGATTATGATGACTTCAAGGGGTCATAACCTTTATACCATTTAATGCATAATGACTTGAGGGACAATATCATATATGGTTTAGGGGGGGGGGGGGAGTTAACCATTTTCAAGATACAATGTATATGATCATTTGAAGTTTTAGGGGTTGGGAATGACCTGTGGGGGGGGGTCATTACCCCATTTATCCTATTTAGTGCGTTATAATACAAAGATGACTTACGCTTTTGCTCTAATGAAAGCAATTTTATTGTTTCGAGTTCCAAAGATCGAGTGGAATGACCCCCAGGGACTTGCCTCGTTGTACAATTTGTATAATTGTGGCATTCCAATGATCTTTGACCCTTTTCCACCTATAGGCCCCTAACCATTTTCATTTCCGATTATTTTACCCTGTTCTAGTCACCCGTGTGGTGCAGTGGTTAGAACGTCTACTCTAGAGTCGTGGAGTAAAGAGTTGATCCTTAAGTCGCGGGTTCGAATCCACTGCGGGACGTGGAGACCAGTTCTTCGGATGAGACTGTGTAAACCGAGGTCCCTTGTTGCAGTAGTCGTTGGCACAAAAAAAAGATTCCTCACTACTCAATGGCCCTAAGTGTCGACCATAGGTTAAAATTTGCAGCCCTCCACCGGTAAGTGGTGGCGTCTCCATATGAGTGAAAAATTCTCGAGAAGGACGTTAAACAACAAACAAACCCCGTTCTATACTAAACGTTTAAAATAATATACTCATAATGTACTTACCGCCTGTTATAGGTACTGTTAAGTTGATAGAATAATAAATCCATTTAAAACACACACTAAATATTAATAATCCCTGTGGTAATAATGATACATGTACATATACCATGTGCAAAACAATAATGATAACGGTAAAAATAGTGCTCGTAGTGTGACGTAATTCCGCGCACGAATCTAGATATTTTCCAAAAAGGTGTACATTTGTAAAATTTATATTATTATTACATACATTTTTTGTCATAAGTTTGTGTTATCTATTCTAAATATGACAGGAAAACGTGTGAATCGTCGTGGGTGGGGGTTGATTTTTGACAAAGTTGATTTGGTCAAGATTTCGAAAGGGGTTCTCCGAGTCCTACCCAAATACTGATAAAAATTTGCACAAGTTGTCAATTTGGCATCTTATTTTTTTTTTAAGTTCATCAAAAAAGCTATGCACGAAAATAATAATATTTGTTGTTTTGAAAATAAATTCAATAAGTTCCAATTATGGGTAGAAAATTAACCACCCCCCCCTTTTTTTTTTACACAAATCTTTCAAAAATTCTCTCTTTATCAGAATTTACATTATTAGGTAATATCAGACAGGTAATGAAATATTTACATGCTCGGATTTAGAGGGGGAGGGGGTTCCGGAACCTGCATGTATATACGAAATCTATATACGAAAGCAACTAAAAGTGACCTTGGACCCCCCCCCCCCCTAGAAAACGTGGACCCCTGTTAAGTTGGTATGAAAAGTTATACATATGAAGCTTAAAAAGTGAGTAGCCAAATCCCCCCCCCCCTACCACCACCACCAGCATGAAATAGGTTTTCTCATTTGGGAGAGGAGTTTAAGTGTCTTTTTTTTCTGCTTGTCAATAAATTTCTGGGTTGGATCCCCTGGTAAAAAATCCTGGATCCGCACCTGATTTACATAAGAGGCCCATATGGGCTGCATGTTCACCTGAGCATTTTGTGCTTGATTTAAATATGTGCTTCTTCCCTGGTTACCAGAATTTGAAGGAGAGCAGTCAGAGCACATTTCAGGGACGTAGCAACGTTTTTGAAAGTTGGGGGGGGGGGGCAGCCAGAGAAAGAAATTTCAAATTACCTGAAAAAACTTCACAAAGCAATTTTTTTTTTTCAAAACTCAAAAATCCTATTTCCTGGGGTGGGGTGGGGGTGGGTTCCAACTTCTTTCAGTACCCCAATTTTTCTATGTACACTACTACAATGTACATTACCTTTATTTGACTATAATGCAACAGAAAGTAGGGGAGCAACCACCCTTTCATAAACATTTTCAATAGAAAAAGTTATGTTTCAAAAAAAGGGGGGGCAGGCCCCCTTCCCCCCTTCCCCCGATGCTACGTGCTTGCATTTAGAAGCAAACACATTAGTGCGGGTTTTACTGTCTTATGTCAGCATCTAGTTCAACATTACTGTTATATAAATCATAGTAAATATAATAAATAATTAAAAATAACAGGAGCGATAACTCCGCAGCTAGGTTAAGGACGCCCATGAAATATACGCCTTAACTATTCAGGGAAAATGAATACAATTTTAATCATTTTTTTACAGCATTAATTTTGATAAATGTGAATTGTGGTGTTTGCATTTGTATAAATCGGGTCTCTGCTGAGTTCGGCCAAAGCGACATCACTTACATCAGCTGTTTGTCACGTGACAGGTTTAAAATTAGAACATTTTTGTACTACAACAAAGATCGTAAAAGTTCACGATATACGGGCATTTTTCAGCTATAAAATTTATTATGTTTTCTTTGAGACAAATTCCTTAACACGAAAAGTGCTGGGAGCAACTTCCTCATGCTCGGAAATTGTTTCAAATTTAGCCGTCTTTCTATAAACTCCAGACAAAAATGTAATACGCATTGGAATAATGCTACATTACGGAATAAATAAACAATGCACAACCAGCTCCCAGCACTTTTCAGAATAGTAGGAATAATAGCTACATGTGTTGAAAATTTCAGAATTCATAGTGAAGCGGATATCGTTGAACTTTTGATATTTTCGAGGGGCTGGACCCCTCATTCTGGCACGTTACTGTACAAATGTGCACCCTAGGGCTTTATATAAACTCTACACATTATCAATTTAGTATGACAATAAAATGTGGATTAATATATTCAGAATATGTCTCTCTTTTGGTCCGACTAAGCGTGTTTCGTATTTATTTTTGTTTTTACAAGCTACGATAAAAGCTTGATCCACGCCTCAAGTACAGAGAAACTGCGTGTCAAACTACGAAATGACGTCATCTCAGTAAGTACAGCGAGATGAAGCTAGCTTTCATTCTACATACGCTAAGTGATATTATGGCAAGACAAGTTGCACATCCATTTATTTTTATAATATTTATGAGAAACAAAATTATTTAGTGTGTATTAAAAAGAACATATAGTAGTTATTCACCGAGATTCATTTGTATTGTTTTAACGTGACGTCATAATAGCTTTCCCGAACCTCTGCATAGGCTGACGTATATATG